TATACTATCGGCGACCATAAGTAACCGGCAAATTTGATCAGAAACTATTATTATCGTTACTATTATTATTATTATTATTACTATTATTATTATTACTATTATTATTATTACTATTATTATTACTACTATTATTATTACTACTATTATTATTATTACTATTATTATTATTACTATTATTATTATCATCATTACTATTATCATTAGGAACGCGTGTAATACGGTTCACTATTTCGATCGTCTCGAACATAAATCTGTAAAACAGCATGATCGCGGATCATAGCAATCGTAGCACGGGTCGCGGTTCACTCACCACGCGGGTTAAATTCACGCGGATAAAAGAACCGTCGCTGATCAAAGAGATAACTAAAAGTAGACGATCTCTCGAATCTCTCGTTAATCGATTAACCGATCGTAATCGGCCGGTTCATATACAGAGACCTGTACCGGACCTGTACCGACGCGCGAAGCGGCGAACGATCCGCTGCGTAAACCGAGGAACGGGTCGGAAAGCGAGCAGAGAAATAAAACGGCCGGATCATCCCCGGCTGGAACTCGGTCGATCCGATAATCGAATCGATCCGCTTCCTCGAGGAGAAAGGTTTCGGCGAAGTTTCAGAAAGACGGGGAATAAAGGCGGAGAGGAAAGATCGTCGCGCGAGACGGCCGGGGCGAGACGGGGGCAAGGAGAAAGAGAGAGAAGTAGAGAGAGCGAGAGAGAGAGAGAGAGAGAGAGAGAGAGCAGCGATACGAGAGACTAATTTCGTCGGGGTTGGGGCAGGTCACAAGGTATTATCTTCCTTCTTCTGCCGGTGTTTCGACGAGGGAGCGGGGGCAACGGACCGGCGGCGGCCGCAGGGTGCACGGGGCCGAGGGGGGCGGGGCCGCCGATAACGGGAGAAATTGCAAAATTATTTGAACAGCCGAATATCTCGGCGCGTTTACCGGCTCGACGTCGTACGACCTTCGCCGGCTCTCCGCTTGCGTAATATTTTTATCGGCCGAAATTACGCACGCACACGCACACACGCGCACGGGAGGAACACGGACACGCGACGATCGAGCGAGAGAGCGCGCGCGCGCTCGTACACGCACGGCATACCGTTCACGAACGGCCCCGTGGTCTCTCTTTCTCTCCGGCGCGTCCGAGAGCCGTTTCTCCGGCCAGTTTCCCTCTCCGTTCATTGTACCGAACGCAGAGAAGAAGAGAGCCAGGGGCACGTATTTCGGTTGGACGAGTATGTACGCCACGCACTCGCTCGTACCGATCCTCCTCGCCTCTTTTTTCGCCCTCTCCTTCTTTTTCTGACGGTGCAGCACTCGCGTGCCTGCGCGCCTCCTTACCTGAGCCACAGTGGGTCACGAAACCGATTGCCACGGCCCCCCTCCTCCCCCCTCCCTGATTCTCAATCTCGTCCGCCGATTTTTCGCAATTTTCGCCGAGCGTTTTCGCGGGCTCGTCGCGTTTCGCAATCGCGTCTCTCGATAAACGGCATAAATCGCGCATAAATCCGAACTAATGTCTCTCTAATTGACGGCCAGATTGTCCACAAAAATGGAAAATTTCGGAAGAGGAGATACGATTATTCGAGCCTTGCCGTTTATTTTTATAGTTTCTAAACTGTCCATAATCATAAAAACGAGCCGCAAGGCTCGAATAATCGTATCTGCTCTTCCGAAATTGTCCGATTTAGTGGACAATCTGAGCGTCAGTAAGAGAGACATTACTATACAGCAAGGTCTCCCTAATTGACGCTCGGATTGCACGCAGAAATGGACAATTTTGGAAGTGGAGATACGATTATTCGAGCCTTGCGGTTCGTTTTTATAGTTACGAATTTTCAAGAACTATGAAAAGGGAGTTGCGAGGCTCGAATAATCGTTTCTTCTCTGCCCAAATTGTCCATTTTTAGGCGAAATCTGAGCGTCAGTTAGGGAGACATTACTGTACTAACGCTTTCGTTCTCCAATATTTATCCCCCTCCTCCCTATTACCACATCCTATGCTGACTACAGTAATGTCTCTCTAATTGACGCACAGATTGTTCAGAGAAATGGACAATTTCGGAAGAGGAGATACGATTATCCGAGTCTTGCCGTTTATTTTTATAGTTTCTAAACTGTCCATAATCATAAAAACGAGCCGCAAGGCTCGAATAATCGTATCTGCTCTTCCGAAATTGTCCAATTTAGTGGACAGTCTGAGCGTCAGTAAGGGAGACATTACCGTAATCGTGAAACGCCGTCCTCGGAAGTGGAGTTTGGGTAACGGAACGTTCGCGAAAAAGTATATCGCGAGTTAAACGCGATCATCAGGGAGCCGCTCCGGCGCCGCGACTTTTCGAAAGTCGACCCCGCAGAAGGGTTAAGTAATCCGTGTTTGCGACCGAGAGATCGCTACCAACCACCGCGAACGCTTGGAAGCCGCGAGAAGGGGGGCCCCGTGCGCCACTTATCTGCATACGTAATCGTTTATTTCGGCGGTCTTCTTTTTCTTCTCCGACGATGATAATAACCTTGCCGAAAGAACGAACGAACGAACGAACGAGCGAGCGATCGCTCGGTGGCAATCTCGTGCCCGATAACTCTCTCGCGGGACGTTCCGGGTGAGGAGAATCGGGCCCGAGATTTTGCATGTTTCTCCGGCGGGAATATCGGCGCCGCGGATTATACAGGAAACGGCCTCCGAAAATTTCGCCGGGGTCGAAGACAAAAAGTCGGCCGCCCCTCGCGTTTCGTCCTTTCTCGCGCGAACGATATCTCGCCGCTCCTCCGCGGAGCGATTATTCGTCGCGCGAGCAGTCGTAAACCCGGGACCGATAAACAACAAATCCCGAGATGATTTTCTACGGGACTTCGACAAACAGAAAACAGCATAACACCGATCGTAAATCGTTCGCGGGATCCCGCGCGAAATCCGCGTACCAATAACGACGATAAAGGCCGCCGCGCGGCCCCCGAACGGTTACGTACCGATTACCGCAGAAAACCGTCCTGCGAATTATTGTTACCGTCGGCGTTGATAAACATTTTGTATACGTGCAGAGATAGCGCGGGACTCGGCTCCGTTCGCCGGTCGTGACGAGAACGTAGACGAGTCGCGATCGACGTATCCGGTTAACAGTCCGCTCGTTAAGCCACTAACCGGACACGAGCAGCGAACTCGTCGATTCCGCACACCTGTGTCCATCCACGATTTCTAGCTTTCCCCTAACGACGATTCTAACTACGAGCGAAAACCCTTCGGGATCTATCCTAATGGATGATAGTTCGCCCGGAAATATCCCTATCCGAATGTGTATCATCGCCACGGAGTTTATCCGCGGTTTATCCACGATTCCCAGCTTCCAACGACTCCTCCCCCGAATAAACTCCTTCGGAAATCTGTTCGAAAGGACCTCGCCGTTCTAGTTAAATTGTCCTAATCAACACGATTATCCGAAAGACGAAATGAATGAAAATCAATTTTAAGTAAACGGAAACGACTAAATGGAATTGCATTCGTAATTCTAAGAAGGATATAAGAATATCTTGGTTGAAGGATAAAAGGCGCGAGATGTTGCAAATACTTTAACACTTGCACTTTAATACTTTAACGTGCGAGAAACCTCGAAAATTTGCATAAAATTGCGGTATTTCATTCGATTGAACGAAAATTACGAAGCAAACTTATAACGGATTGCATCGATTGCTTCGACATTCGTGCCTCTTGCAAATCTGAACAAAATTAAACAGTGATTTTTAACACTAAATCTACCACGGTCAAAATGACCGATTTTTTTTATTTTACGATACTATAAACTTTGGAGACTTCTTCGTGGAGAATGATTGAATAAATTATATTATTGAAACAAGTCTCATAATTAAAACTTTGCTAAGTCCAAGTGAATTCTATCTTTTCACTGTTATGAGTGAAAATGCACGCTAATCGTCATTACGGGTCGGTTGGTTTAGTGTTAATTAGACGTGGAAGATTTCCCGAATCGGTGATCGATCGATTTAAAACGGGGAGATCTCCTCATTCGTTTGGCTAAGCGTTAAAATACTCTGAAAAATGGCGAATTAGCAGATAAGACGTTTCAACTAACGACGGTTAATTAGCTTTAGGAAAAATCTCTATCCGAATTTCTATTTTTTTCTATCTATCTTCCTAATTGACGCTCAGATTGTCCACAAAAATGTACAATTTGGGAAGCGGAGTCTTGCGACTGGTTTTTATAGTTACCGATTGTCAACGATTATAAAAACATAGCGCAAAGCCGGAACAATCGTATCTATAATATTGTTCTCAAATTGTCCATTTTTCTGCCCAATCTAAGTTAGGGAGACATTACTGTATAATCCGCACGGGAATCTATCGGTTCTCCTGACTGGCTAGATCTATGCTCAAATTGCTCCGAACGCGTCCCTTCGAAATCCGCTATCCGGCGAAGCTTTTACAAGATCTCTATCCGAATTTTTATTTCTTTCTATCGGTCTATCCGCGATGCCTAGCTGCGAACAAAGCTCTCCGGAGATCCGTTCCAACGGACATAGAAATAAGAATATAGTAACGTCTTGCTAATTGACGCTCAGATCGTCCAAAAATATGGACAATTTGGGAATAGGAGCCCTGCGAATTCGAGTCTTGCGATCGGCAACTTTTTATAGTTACCGATTATCAACGATTATAAAAACATAGCGCAAAGCCGGAACAATCGTATCTATAATATTATCCTCAAATTGTCAATTTTTCTGCCCAATCTAAGCGTTAGTTAGACATTACTGTAATCCGTACGCGAATCTATCGGATCTCCTAACTGCCTATATCTATCCTCGAATTGCTCGGAACGCGTCCCTTCGAAATCCGCTATCCATCGAAGAAGAGGTCCGTTCGATCTGGACCTCCGAATCGGAGTCTGTCGCTCGCAGTTGCTCGGCCATGGGAGCACCGCCTTATAGGAGACCTGTAAGGTCCTAACAGAGGAATGTTTCGCGTAGGTCGGAAGTTCGGATGGACTCACGGTATCGTCTCATAAGGTTCTTCTTGTAGGGTTTGGTGCCTGGCGGCCTGGACCTCGACCTCGTCGTGCCGTCCTTCTGGTTGTTGTCGGAGCACGAGTCGTCCGAGTCCTCGGAACAGGTACGGTCCTCCCTCTCGTTCGCGTACTCGCCGGAGGACGCGGCGACGAAGCATCCCCGGAGCCTCAGGGCCGCGGCCGCGTTCCCGTAATCGTCGATCGGCTCCTTGCGCTCTTGTTCCTGCTCGTGCTCGTTCTCGTCCCTCGAGAACTCCGCGTAATCGCCCACCCTCACGCTCAAGTCCAACGGCTGATCCTCCAGCATCGTTGCCGCCGTTTCTCACCGCCACCTTTATCCGCGTCACCCTTCCCCCGAAGCCGACTGTGTCCCCGCGCCCTGCGTATCAAACGCCCCGGCTACCACCGCGGCACGCTCGTCGCTACCATCTTTTTCATAAAAACCGCTCTAACGATTCTCGCTGGACACTGGCGCGCGATCGAACATATCACAACCGCGAAATCCTCGATCACCGGGACATACGGAATCTCGGCGGAATCTCGGAACTATGAGAACGCTGTTTTTTTTTATTTTTCGTTTTACGTTTCTTTTGCTTTCGCTCTCTCCGATTCCCAAGAAGACACACCGTCACTCTCGTCGAATCATCATTCACTGTACGATATTATTACCGATAGGACTCTCGAGTCACCGTGGTTCTCTCGGTATAACGTATATATCCACAACGTGCCGCACTCGATCCACTGTGAGATCCCGAAGCAGATCCGGAAGTTCCGCGAACAGAGGAGAGGCAGCAGCAGCAGCAGCAACAACAACAACAACGGGAGACGATCGAGATACTGGTCGGTCGAAAGGGAAGAGATCTATCTTCGTGGGAGGTGCGCGCAACTCTTCCGGCGCGGCGCGGAACGGTGCGGAGCGGTGTGGCGCGCGTGACGCACAGCCGGATACTCAACCGGCGCGGCGAATCTCGCGGCAAACACGATCTCTCTCCGATACTAGCGACGTTCACGCCGCTCCGTTGGATCGCTTGCGCCGCGATCGTTCGATCATTCCCCCGAGCAACGGCTGGCTCACCGCGAAACTTGGCGACGAACCTCCTCCTCCTCCTCCTCCTCTACGTTCCTCGAACAGCAATCTCTCAGTTCGCAGTTCACTCGGGACGGGACCGGGAATCTCCCGCGCGTACCGATATAATCGCACTTTGCACGTCAATTTTTCGCGTGGATCGAGAAAAGTGAAGGAAATAGTAAGAGAGAAAGAGAAAAAGAAAGAGCGAAAGAGACAGAGACAGAGAGAGAGAAAGACAAGACCGAAAAAAAGAAGGAGAGAAAAACACGAGAGAGTCCGAGCACGCAGCAGAGCAACTGTCGAAGCGTATCCACGTTCTCCGCGCCGTGGCTACGGTCGCCGGTGGCACACTGACTGACTCGGAACCGGGCTAGCCCGCTAGTCCAGACTCGTTCACTCACTACTCCAGACTCACACTCCAACTCCGTGGCGGCGGACTGTCGGTGTCTCGCTCGCGCTCCTGCACCGCCACACTATGCTTCCCGAGCCGCCACAGCCGACCGCGTTCGGCACTCCTCGTCGGCCGACTTCGGTTCTTTTCGGCCTCCGCGATCCCCTGTCCCCTTCTCTCGACGCCCCGAGTCCGCGCTACGGAGCCGCCGGCTTCGCGTACAGAGAGACGCGAGAACGGCACCCACACACAGTCGCGAGCCGTCTGTCGCTCGGCATGCGTAGCCTACCGCAATGTTCGAGCCCGTGATACCACACCACCCTCCCCTTTACCCTCTACCCTCTGCTCCCCCCCGTTCTCCCCTCTCGTCCACCGAAGTCCCTCGCGCTTTCTGCTCTTTTCCCTCCGTCGACTCTTTTTTCCACCCCTTGCATCCTCCCCTCCTTTTTCTCCGTGCTCTCCCGCTCTCTCTTTCTCACTCTCTTCGCTTCTCTTTCTCTCTTCTCCTCGTCTCTGTCTCGAGCCGTTTGCTCCGGACCGTCCTCTCTCAGTCTTCTCTCTCTCTCTCTCTCTTTCTTTCTCTCTCTCTCTCCTTCTCCCGCTTCATCTTCGAACCGTCTTCGCAGCTATTATATTTTCCCCGTCTATTGGGATAGGACACACACAGGCACGCACACCAGAGCACACTGCTGGCTCTCGTGACGTAGCCGGCTCTCATGACATTAACCTTCGATCGTGGCCGCTAGAAACGGAGCGCGACCGACTCGAACGCGATTCGATTTACCTGTTAACCGGGAAGACGAATCCGCCTGGATCGCCGCGCACAGTGTTTTTTTTTCGCATTGTTTTTACGAAGCCAATCCCCGGCCGGCCGCCTAGCGAAACTACCATATCCTCCACGCCAATTTGCTCGATTAGCTCAGACGCCGATTAAGCTGGTTTTAATCGGATTTTTCCTTTACGAGCAAATACGAGCGCCACCGGCATTATCGAGCCCGGTGGGAGGGAGGGTGGGGGGAATGAGGGACCGATGAGGGTTGACAGTGGCAGACACCGCAGGAACCGCGCTCGATTTTATTGTGTACCGGCGCACCGATTAGTTCGTACTCTTGTTCGAATTAAGCGGACCGCGCGCGTTTATCGCGACTCCGTTGCACGTGTTGCGTTCGAACGCGTATCCGACGAAACCGACGAAGAGCTGCTCGCGACGATTAATTGGAGCCTAAAGAATCCGTGAGATCCCTCTTACGGCCTGTGCGAGGGCATGGATTTTTCGAAGAGCCGGGAACATATTTCGCTGGGGGGGGGGACTGGATTACGCTGGAGAATCTTAACCTTTTAGGTACGGCTGAATTTTGCGCGATGCTATTTCTCTGGACGGCAGAGTCTGATACTGTATATTCTGTCTGTATATACAGGGTGTCCCAAGATCGTCTTGCAATCCGAAAGTGGCGGGTTCCTCGGGCCATTTGAAGCAACTTTTTCCTGTATAAAAATTTTCTCCGAGGCACCGTTAACGAGTTATTAACGAAAAACTGTGACCAATGAGAGGCGAGCTTGGCTGGCGCGAGGCGATCGAGCCAATGAGCGGAACTGGGCTTCGCGCACTGGTTGGCTGGGTCGCTTCGCGTCAGCCGTACTCGATTCTTATTGGTCACTGTTTTTCGTTGATAACTCGTTAACGGTGCCTCGGAGAACATTTTTGTAAAGGAAGAAGTTGCTTCAAATGATCCGAGGAACCAGCCATTTCCGGATTGCGAGACATTTTTGGGACACCTTGTAGACTGTTGTAAATCGATGTGAAGACAAAAGAAGTGTGAAACGATGCATACGAAGACGATTATTTGGTTCAAACGATGAGCAAGTGAGCTACTAGAGCAAGCCACTATAGTGGCGCGTCGTCCAGAGAGATGACATCCGCGAAA